TGCAAAGACTCAACCTTAATTTCATAGAAATTATACATAACCTAGGGTAGAATCACCATACAAACATGAATTACATAACGTCACATTCAATTCATAGCCTTCAATCAATATCCAACGCAAACTAGGGTTAGAATTAGGAAAAGAAGGAGAAACATGGGTCTCATGGGGAATTCTTCAAGAAACCATCAATACAATATAAATTCATCCATAATTGTTCATATAACATCAATCAAAGTCAGTTTATAACATCAATTTCACTTTAGAAAGAAGACCCACGTTTTTGGATTGAAACCTAGAAATTGGAGATTTTGAAATTCATCTTGAAGGGGCCTCTTGGGGAAAGGAATCCCAAGAGTGATAAGCAACCATACCTTATTGACGAATTAACCACAAAAATCTGAGTTGGAATTTTGGAGAGTTGGTCTTCTTCTTGAAGCTGTAATCTTCTTCAATGGAGTTCTTGAGAAGAGGAGAGAGAGAGAGTAGAGAGAAGGAGGAACTTTAGGTTTAGATCTTTGGGGTTTTGTGTTTGAGTGATAAAAGTGAGGTAAATTAATTGACTTAAAAAACATTATATACACGTCCCCTAAAGTACCCTAAATACCCCTCACTTAGTTGGACTCTTTAATGAAGTAAAAATAGATTTCTAAATTTCTGCATTTTCGTCGCGAAACAAGTCCGCGACGCGGAGCTGTTCCCTGAAGATATTTGGAATTAAATTTTGAGACAGTAGATTCTGCGTCGCGAACTAAATTTTTGCTCCTTGGGGGAGCTAGTCCGCGACGCGGATGCATTCCCTCCAAGTGCAATTTGCAAGCTGCCTTGGCAGCTTGCTTGGCCAAGGTTGGGGTCCTTCTCGGGGTCTCTTAGGGTGGCCCCGGGGAGTCGTATTCGAATGTTTTGACCCTATAAACATACATTTACCTAATTTAAACCTTTTTACAAGATTATACCATCATACGATACTCCCAAACCTGCCCAAAATTTAAGGACACACTAGAACACATTCTTCTCTAGTTTCCGAACGTCGTGGTCGCTTCTTGACGTTTAGACTTTTACTCTTCCAAAACCTAAGTCAATTGCATTAATTTAGGTTTAGAAACATCATTTTAACATTTTTAAGTCATTATTCATAAGGTGAGGCTCTAACTTAAGTCATAGAATTTCCTGGTTGTTACATTTACACATTAATAACTGCAAAAATATACTTATGTATATTAATAATGTATACAAATAAAATATAAGCAATGTATATATTATAGTGTCAAATTTATACTAAATAAACATATACTTAATTAAATGTATTCAACTGAATACAAGCTTATTTGCAGTAGATTTCAAAGTTTAGCACATACAAAATGTATATATAAATATAGGGGTAACCAATCGGTGGCCCCCTAAAGTTGGCACAATGTTTCACTTAGACACCTCAATTGAACAATTTTCATTTTTAAACACTTAACGTAGGGTCCCCATGTGTCACTTTAACACTTTTTGCACAACTGGAGTGTCACGTGGTTTTCACTGATTCAAGGCGCGTAAACATCAATATTTCGTATGATGTGGCATCCCCAACGGTAATATTACCCCACCTCATTTATTATATTATTTTTTATCCAATTGTACCCTAATTAAGACCCCAATTTCTTTCTTCTTTTCCAATTTCTCCCTTCTTTTCCAATTTCTCTCTTCTTCAGCCTTTCTTTAATTCTTGGCCCTTAATTATTTCATGTCGAACTTCTCCAATTCTTCCATGGCATCTGTGGATGAAGGTCGATATTGTAGATGTGGTAATGAAGCACTATTATAGACTTCATGGACCCAATTAAATCTAGGGCGTAGATTTTTTACTTGTAGAATTTCAAAGGTAAAATTCTTTGTTTTTTTAAGTCAATTAGATGATTAATTGTTGGCGTCTAATTCTTTTTTATTGGTTTTATAGAAAATGGGTGGCTATGACTATTTTCTTTGGTATGAAGATCGACACCCTCCTCAAGCAAACAGAGTAATGTGGGGATTGTTGAAGAAAGTCAATGCTTTTGATGAAAAAATAAAGCGAGCAAGAAATATATTTATTGTTGGTGTCATTGCTACTGGGTTGGTGATGTTTGGAATATGGACATTGAAGCCTAATTGTTAGTGTTCTTGAGGTGTAGTAGTATTTGGTGTTCGGTCTAGTAGTATTTTGATGTTGTTGTTGCTGTAAATTTTTTATGTAAATGTGCATTTTGGATGCAATGAAATTCTATGTTATTGTTGCAGTAAAATTGGTTTTTTGGCTACATACAAATCTCAAATTCGTTCTCACAATGTAACAACAAAAACAAATAGCAACCAATTCATCACAATATTCTCAAAACGTAGTCATATTCGTCACAATGTAATACCCAAATTACACAAAATGTAGACAGTTATATTGCATGCTCCATAATGAGCTCAAAGTTAGCATTATGCTACATACCATTCAAGGCTACAACCTTCAAAAAAGTGTATACCAGTACCAAAATAACGCCCCAAAATAAAGCTAGCATAATCAAAAGTTACATACAACCTTCACAAAAGTGTTTACTAGTACCAAAATAAAGCTAGCATAATCCAAAAGAATTAGACAGCAAAATAAGGGCCCAAAATCAACCTATTCTAAGTTGGTGTTACTTCTTCTTTTTGTTTGCCATTTGCTGCAATTGGGAAGTGGTGACAACATCTTTGTTTTTCCATCTCAAGCCTCTAGGCTTAAAGCTAAGGTCTATACCCATTGAACTTGCATCCTTATAACTTGAACTTGTTGGTAGAATCCTATGACTTGAAGTTCCAGGCTGTTTTTTGAAGAACAAAACCAAAATTAATATATAAACTTGCATTCATTTAAGAGACAAAGTTTGTGACAAACTTACGTTTAGTATTTGGGTTCCACTTGCACTTGTGTAGATGCCAAATCCAACATTACTTGATCTACCATTAGTTGGCCTCTTTGGTACCCCAACTGCAGAATCTTCTCCAGTTGCAACTCTTCCTCTTTTTTGTCCAGCAGTTTGTCTTGTCCTTGGAGGTAGTTGATTGGTTATTCCTCTTGTAACAGGAATACTTGTATCCACAAAGGGTGGTGGTTGGCTTGTTTTTACAGTTTCCTTTGCCATCTTAAATCTACTTGTATCACCACAAACTGTTGTTGAAGAAGCATGATTGCTTGATGTTGTTGATGAAGGTTGGTTGAATCTTGTTGGTCCAGGGTGGGAGGAGCTTGTTGGTTCAGGATGGCTACTTCCTTGTGAACTTTGACCAGTAGTAAATTGTGAACTGTGGCTAGCTAGTTGTGAAGTATGGACACCAACCTAAATATCAAACATAAAGTTTGTTCATTACATTCAACAAGAATTTAAAAAAGTCACAAACAAATAATAAATTATTTTACCTTGCAATATTTCTTGTTGTGGCCTTGTTATTTACACTTGGAACAAGTAATTTTCAACCCTTGTTTGGACATCTTTCCATACTTCTTTCTTGGTTCATCTTTACTCTTTCTTCTATTTCTTAAAGGTCTACCAGGCATTGGTTTAGGTTTAGGAGGCTCAATCCTTGGATTGTTAGTTTCAGGCTACATCTTCATATTTGGAATTGGTTGAATGAAATGACTATAAGCCTTTAAGAAGGTATCATTCCTATACCAATGCTCCACAAGTGGTTCAGGTTCATGTTCTATGTGGCACAAAGCAGAAATAGCATGTTGACATGGAATGCCTCTCAATTGCCAAGTTCTACAACTACAAACTCTATCAGTCAAGTTGACTGTATGTCTATACTGCCCTTCTCCTATCTCAAACCCAACATCAGCATTCCAAAGCACCTTGCATGCCCTAGACTTGTCCTTATTCTCATCCAATATAAGTCTAGCCATAGGTGCAATATCAGATATCCAGGTATCAGCAAACTTAACCATATCCACAATTCTAGTCATTATTTTTCTCCTAATTTTCTCCAACATGGTTATTATATATTTGTGTCTACATGATAAGATCCATGAGTTAAAGGTTTCACACATGTTATTTTCAACTGCATCACATTTGGAATGCTCTAACCCATGACACTTGTGGATAATGCAATAAATCATCATTAATTTTCTTACCAAGTCTGCTAATTTTATGAAGCTCCTCACTGAACTTCACTTGAAAAGTTGCCTTGGAACATCTCCAAAATTGTTTTCTCCTTTCCTCTCCCTTCCATCTTTTACTCCAATTAGACCAGATGTGTCTAGCACGCCTTCTAACTTCAGAATTTGGTAGTAGTTCATCAACCGTTGCTTGAAGACCCTACAATAAAATACAATTCAAGAAAGAAAATACATTTCTGCATATCTACAATTATCAAAGTAATAGACAATTACCTTCTGCATATCTGACATTACAGTAAGACCTTGCCCAGTACCCAACTGTAGGTCCTCTTTCAAGTAGTTGATAAAGAAATTCCAGCTATGTTTAGTCTCCTTGTCCACAACTACCCATCTGATTGTTTCCATTCCTTCCAACTGCTACTAGAAGTTCACCCTTATAAGCACCCTTTAAGAAACATCCATCAAATCCTATTATTCTTCTACATCATTCATTCCACCCTTTCTTCAATGCATCCAAGCATACATAGAAGTACACAAAAAAATTCTTTCCTGGTACAGTTTCTCTATCCATCCTTACCTAAACAGAACTACCAGGATTGGTTTGTTTTATAACCTTAGCATAATCACATAACCTTGCAAATTCCATATTCCAATCACCCATGGTCTCTCTAAGAATCATCATCTTTGCCTTGTAACAAATTGTTCTACCACATACAGTCCTAACTCCTCCCTGCATAATTCTTGTATTTCCCAAATCCTTAAAGATGGTTGTTTAGTTATTTCATCCTTGAATCTACATGCTAGGAACTTAGTTGTACACGTTTTGTTCTTATTTGATGGAGAACACTTATGTATATGATGGTAATTCTTAATCATAAATTTACCAGAATCCCTATCAATAGCACCATAGCATAACCATTTTCTTTGAATTTACATTTAGCTCTCACTCTATGAGCTTCATTAGGCCTTAACTTAATCTGATAATTTTTTCAACATCATATTTTGCCAAAGCCTTTCTAAATTCCTTAGCATTCTCAAAAATCATTTCAAGTTCAAAAATAGCAACAATACATTCATCATCATACCTGACCTTTTTTCTCTTTCTTCTACCTGGTAGATCAACACCTCTAATAGCTTCTGCATCTTTTATATCAGTGTTATCATCACTATCACATTCTAAGCTATCAATATACTGCTCATCTCCTCCCAATCTGCCAACATATTTATCCTTCTTATTTATTCCAATATCTTCAAAGCCTCTGTCCACACCAGCCTCACCTATTGGTACTTCTTCAAGTATTGTTTTCTTCTTCCTAGGATTAGGATTTATTTTCTTCTTAAGATTAGGATTTCTTTTGTTTCTCCTTTCAGCCATAAGGGATCTCAATTCTTCATCAACATCATAATCATCTTCATCTGGAACAACATCTACATCTGTGTCACTACTAGGCAGATCTGATTCAGCTTAATTCTAATTTCTATCACCTCCAGGCAATTCTGTATCAACTCCATTCAGATCTAAATCATTCTCCACAGTTCCCTCAGTATTTATACCCACAGATTCATCAACAGATCAGACTGCGCTAAAAAACCAGTTGGAGCAGGAAATTCTTCCAACTCATCAATTTCATGGACCACATACACATGAAACTCATCACCATCTATCAAGTCTTTCACAAATTCTAACAATTGAGTATCAGAAGTAACTTGAACTAATTCATTGTTTTCTTCACAGTAAAATCCCTTCACATTTGTATACCCAAGGTCTTTAGTGTAGTAAAGAAACTCGACAAGACTAAAATGATATTTATCTATGCCAACACCAAATACATATACTTCTCGTTGGAAAGTAGGGTTAGGGTTTCCAACAACACACACCCCATGATGAAAACAAGTTAAAATATAGATGTCCATATCCCGAAAAGAACACCTCCAACAAAAGGAAATACCTAAAAAGCCCCTTACTTTATCAGCACTAGTTAGGCCAAAACCTAAATTATAAATGAAAATAAAGAAAGTGGAATCAACAACAACATACACCTTCTTCAAGAATAAGCATACGAACACAAGAAAACAAAGGTAGAATCTTCAATTTATCCAATGTCGCACAACCCGATACCTCATCAATACTTAATTTTCAATCTTAAACCTGAAAAATGGTGACATAAAATACAACAATGGTTATTACTAACAACGAATTGAAGGAAAAACAAAGCAATACATGTGAAGTGAAGTGGGTTTAGGGAGTTGAAATATTTACCTAGGGTTTTCATCGGAGAAGAGAGAAAATCGTACGATGGAAGTTGAAAGATCACTCTTTTAATTTGAAGAAAAATGATGTGTAAAGATGTTTAAGAGTTGGCATCATATAACTGGTCTGTTAATCCACGTAGCTATGATTATGTTGCACGTGCCTATGGTCTACATAAGTCTGTGTAAAAAGTGTTAAAGTGACACATCGGGACCCTACGTTAGGTGTTTAAAATGGAAATCGTTCCGTTGAGGTGTCTAAGTGAAACATTGTGCCAACTTTAGGGGGCCACCGATGGGTTACCACATAAATATATATTAGACACCTAATACTAAGTTTAGATCATTGCCACTCAATACTAAAAAATATTAAAATGAATTTTGTATATATTATAGTGTGAACCCCCTGCATCTAACAATGCATAAACATCTAAATGAAAGACTCGTAACGTACCAGTGACCACATCAAGAGAATCTTCCTGGTTCTAGCGATCCTGGACAACATACAACCTGTTCTAGCGCTAATCTCCACTTGTACCAGATGACACACCCTACTGAGTTGGGCGACCTGCTGGTGCTACTGGAGCTGTAGACTGAGCCCTATTATTGTTACCTTTTTTCCCCTGCCTAGCAGAAGGGCAATCCTTCAACCTATGGCCAGACTGACCACACCCAAAGCACCTTTCCTTTCCTGCAAGACACTTACCCGGATGGTTCTTACCACACTTTGGACAATTTGGGAAAGTACTCCCTTGAGACTTAGAGCTTGTGACCCTAGAAACTCAAAAGGATTCATCCGAACAAAATCCCGAACCCTAGCTGCAGTTGATCCACCGTTTGGTTTAGTAGGTACTGGACCTACTGATTGTTCTGGTTGGTCACACTCTGAGCCAAAAGTTTGATCGCATTCCAAAACTCTGCATTCGTAACTTCATGGTTCGGGACTAGGGGAACTGCGTTAGTGTTGCGTGCATTATCATTCCGTGCGTAAGCTCTACGAAGAGGCATGATCTGAAACGCATAACGACGGATTAGAACTGAGAAAGTGAAGTTTTTCTTAAAACACCTCGTAGCAAAGAAAGTGAACTTTTTCTTAAAACACCTCGTAGCCTCCCTCTCCTAGATGTGGTGCACTTCACACCTATGAAAGAAACTCTACTTAGTGCTGCTTTCAAACATCTTAAGACTCTTAAACCTAATGCTCTCATACAAAGTTTGTCACGCCCCGAGGCTACCTCCTTAACATAACATGGGACCTAGGACCATGAGTGACCCCAAGCTAACCTTGTTTATGGCATATCATAAGCATACTGAAAATGAACTAAGTAAAACATGAACTACACGGAAGCTAAAACAATGAAGAACTGAAAGTGGGGAATGCCCAGCTAGTCTGAATGTATAAAACCTACTAAGAGTTTAGAGTTACTGAACAATCAATTAAAAACTGAAGTTGTATCTACTACTATGTCTGAAAAGCCTCTAACTGATTAGAGTTGTTGGGACATGCCCCAGCTAACCCTAACAATCTTGAAAAACTGAATAAGAGACTGAAATGGAAAGCATGTCTATTGTCCTCAAAGTATGAGGACTCACCACGGAAGTTGTTGAATACGGATCGAGAATCGATCTATGCATGATCTGAATGTACTGAGCATGCATGATATAGATATAGGCTGAACAAATATATATGAACTAAACAAAGCATAACTAAGCAATGATATAATCTGAACTAAATATAAACGCTCAAATATAACTGAAAATTGAGCTAAATGAAATGACCAAACACTAATCATGAACATAACATATTGAGACTAAATACTGAAGTATAAACTGAAAACCTGGTTAAATGCACTAGAATC